CTGGGCCTCTGTCCTCCCCTCTCTCTGGGTCTCACCCTTCCCCCGGGGGATCTGCCCCCTCCCTCTGGGTCTCTGTGTCCCTTTCTCTGGGTCTCTGCTCCCCCCACCGGGTCTCTGCCCCACCCTCTCTGGGTCTCTGTCCCTCTCTCAGGATGTCTGCCTTAGTCCCTACCTTCAGCTTGGACTGGATTTCCCTCGATTTCCTTCGGGCCAAAACCTGGATATGACTAGAGACCTGGAGGAATCACAGAGTAGATTCAGGCCCAATCGCTGCCCCTTGCATTCACTGCCCGCCCCCCCAAGTGCCCCACTGAACTTCTGGAACATGAACGCTGACAAACACACATGCTAGCAGTCTCCAGAGCATACACACACAGATGTGTCCATACAGGCTTTTCTTTCCAGGAACTCGCTAACACCACAGCCTTTCCCCAGACCCGTCAAATCCGGGCTTCCTTCCCCTTTCTTATTCTTCTCTCCTTGACTGCTTTTGTCTCTCTGACTCTTTGGTTCTAACACAACCACTAGGAAAACTATCCCCAAATCGAGCACACACAGACACGCCAAAAGTACATGAACCAGCTCCTCTTTGAACCTGAACTCCTGCCCACACTAGGATGGCCCTAAGAGGACAGGCCCACCCCAGGCAGAAGCCCACATGGCAGTTCTGAGACCTGTTTGCGAGTTCGTGTCTTCCCCGTTCTCAGTTTGATGTAGCGGGCAATCAGTTCATTCCGACCTAAAGATTCAAAGATGGAACAGAGTTAGACCTTCAGCAGAACTTCCCAACAAAGAGTATACCAGGGAAGAACAGAGAAGCAATAGTTCCCAAAGATCTGCAGCAGCTGGGGTGGGGTCTCCTCAGATATATGAGAGTCAGATAGCTATGGTTCAAATTCCAGCTCACCACATCCTAGCTCTGTGGACTAAGCAAATCACTTAACCTTTCTGTGCCTCAGTTTCCTCCCCTGTGCAAATGATGATGCTAGCTCCTACCACAGAGTCGTGGCAAGGACATAATATATCTTTACCTATAGAGTACTTAGCGCTCCATAAATGCAGGTTATTGCCATTAATCAGTGGGGGCCAGGGCAAAAGGCAGAGGGTGACTCACCATACATCTTGCCTTCATCAGACAGGATTATCTTCCGGCGGCCACAGGGTGGGTAGATGGCCAGGGCCTCCTGGAAGCTCTGCTCAATGTCTGGGCTCCAGACACCTTCTGCATCTGGGCCCCCGTCTCCCCCAGCCCCCTCGCTGCCACCAGTGCCCTCCTCACTGCCTTCCTCACTGCCCGTCCAGCCGCTGCCATCGTCCAGGGGGGCCCCAGCCCGGGGTTCTCCCATCTGGGCCTGAAGGAACACAATGGCTCAGCAAGCTTCCCTCAAACCCCCCACCACTCCGTGAAGGACTGAAAACTATGAGGGCTGGGAATCTGAGGGAGGAAGGGCCGGGAGCCTGGACTCCTGGGTCTGAGAGAGGAGGGGCTGGGGGCCTGGATTCCTGGGTACGAGGGAGGAAGGGCTGGGGCCTGGACTCTTGGCTCTGAGGCAGGAGGGGCTGGGGGCCTGGACTCCTGGATTTCTGGGAAAGCTTAGGGTAGAAGTGTTCTCCTCTGAGTGTCCAGAGAAACTTGGATTGTGACGAAGTCTGAATCCCCCAGAGAAATGCCCAGGGTCCATGAGGGCTAAAAGTTTGGGTATGGATTACTGGTTTTAAAGGAGACCGAATTCTGGAGCCAGTTGGAGGGAAGGAGGGTGTGGGTGAAGCCCTCCCAGCCCCACCCCAAGAACAGGTGCTAGAATGAGCAGCAGCTGCTAGACGAGCAGGAAGCCGGGGCAGGCTCAAGTAAGACTGAGGAGAGATGAGAGAGAGGGGTGCTGAGACTCAGAAAGAGAGGACAGAGACCAGAGAGATAGGGAGACACAGACCCAGAGAGACAGGGAGACACAGGCCCAGAGAGGGGGACAGAGTCCCAGAGAGAGGCCGACAGAAACCAAGAAAGAGCAGGGACAGAGACTCAGGGCAGCAACTGAGGCCCGGACCAGGAAAGACTCACAGAACCACAGGCTGGGGGGGCAGGGGCGCCCTGCCATCAGGAGAGCCAGAACAAAGGGCCCAGGCGTCCCCTCCCCCAGCTTCCCACAACCCCCATCAGGGGAGGGGCTGGCCGGCAAGGGCGACTCCCCTCCGGCCCCCGGCCCCGCCCCTCTCCTCCCTTCCCCTCCCCCTGCGCCGTGGGCTCGGATCCAACTCAAGTTCCCAGTGACTTTCCGGAGGCCGGGAACAGGGAAAACTTTTTCCAATACAGTCAGATCCCGCCTCCCTAGAGGCTCCACGACGTCCCCAGCTTTCCCAGGACCCCAGGGTCCAGGTCCCCACTGCCCTCCTCCCTCGAACGCCGGCAGACAAAGACCCCAGGCCAACCCCAGTGGCGCTGCGGCGTTCAGGACCCCCGTAGGCCAAAATCTCAGCCCAGCCCTCCCTCATGTGGCCAGACAAAGGGACGGTGGAGTCAGGCAAGAGAGGTTCCCCCTAATTTCCCGCCCCAGGCTCCAAACCTCCGAAGAGTCCAGGCTCAAGATCCAGAAAGCCCCGTAGCCCTCCCCCGGCCACCCGGAGGCCCTCCTCTCTCCATAAGGGGGACCAGATGCCCACAAATTATATACCGGGTCCTTCTCACTCCAAACTGACACCGCCACAGACACTCGCACACCCCCGCGCCCCGCCGGAGCCCTCCGCCCTCACCCAGTCCCCGCGCACTCCCAAGGCCAGACCCATCCACAAGCACCCTAACTCCGGCGAAAGTTCCCACTGCTCACTGAGGCTCGGTCACGAGCGCACACTCGGGCCCCTCGGCAAAAAGAGGGCGGCGAGCAGTTCACAGATGGTCCCCAAACACACACCTCACCTCATCACGAGTAACTTCCCACCCCAACTCACACACCCCAAAGCGAGATCCCCGACTCCCGCCGGCGCCTTCCTACCTCCCGGCCTGGGGCTGGGGAGCCGCGGGCGGGCGGGGCGCAGCGAGGGAGAAAGTTGCCGGGAGCTTTGTTTGGGAAAAGTGGGAGGGACTGGAGGGGGGGCGGGCCCCGGTGGTGAGCAGCGGGAAGAGGGATCCGACCGTGACAGTTTGGGGGAGGATTTTTGCTCTGGGGGAGAAGACTCTCTGGGGTCTGGTGGGATGCTCGGGTCGCTGGGAAAGGAGGGGCTTGGGGGGTTGGGACTGCAGGTCTTAGGGAAGAGGTTGATGGCCGCCGGGAAACCCGGGTCTGAGGGAGTAGGGCATGGGGGCTGGGACTCCTGGGTCAGGTGGAGGAGGGGGCTGGACACGTGGGCTCCCAAATCTGAGAGAGGAGGGGGCTGGGGGCCTGAACTCCTACCCTCTAGTGTTTGTGTGTTGTGGGTGTGGAAGGGATACGAACACAAAGAATCTTTGCTGTTCAGCCCCAATTATATTTTTGAGGATTGGGGTATAGGGATGGGTTTTGACTGATTCTTATGAAAGCACGGTTTCCTCACCAGAGTTAAGAGTGGTGGGCAAGACCACCTGGAGTTTACCGGAGGCCCTTGCATTCACATCACTAGTGGACGGGAGGTGGCAGCTGTCCTAGGACAGGGAGAGAGCTTCAGTGCCCGAGGAGAGAAGAGGGTTTAGGGCCTGGTCCCTTAAAGATGAAGGACTAGACGTTCAAAATCACGACACTAGAGGGGGCTGGTATCCCGACTTTGGGTCCTGAAGAAGAGGAGCCTGATTCCGGGTTTCTTGGAAGATAGAACACGGGACTGGATTTAGGCTTTGCGAAGAGAACGGGGCTTTTTAGAACGGGAAAACAAGAAGAGACACGGAGAAAGGCTCAGAGACAGAGTGGGCCAACGAGTGGGAGACTCCGGCGTCTCCCGAGCCGGGGAATAGAACTATGGGCGCTGGAGGATAGTTCTGGGACACATAGGCGTGGCCCAAGAGCGGGGGCGTGGCTCTAAGTCAAGGGGCGTTGCCATCTGCGATTGGTGCGGACTCCGACGCGAGCGACAACCGACGGGGGCGTGGTCTGGCTGGCAATGTGGGCGTGGCCAGGGGAACGAGGGGTGGGGTTAACGAAGAATCGGGGGCGTGGCCCGTTCTCAAGGGCGTGGTCATGGAATAGAGGCCCGATTCACGGGTGAGGATAGCAGGAAGGGGCGTGGTCAGATCGTGGGGGCGTGGCTAGAGCTCGAGACGCGTATCCAACGCTCCAGTTATCGGGCTCAAGTCCAGAACTGTTGGGATTTAACAGTCCGCGGACTCCCGGAGTCTCGGAGTCCGGTGACTGGACTGTGGTCTGGCGTAAGGTCGGAGCCCAGAACAAGGAGCGGGGTGTGGAGGAAGGTGAGGAGTGAGATCTTGGTGTGAATGTAGACGGCAGTGAGAAATGAGATCAGTGTATGAAGCAGAACCCAGAAGAGCCCGGCCTGGGAGGATGGGGGAGCCTGCCGGATGGAGGGTGTGGAGGTAGAAGAAAAGGGGAGCGGGGGAGAAATAGGCATGGCGTGGGAGTTGCCAGGACTGGGGACGCGGCCTGAGCCGGTAGCTGGAGAGGGCTGACTTGGGTGGAAGTAGGGCCTTGATGGGTGTGGGGGCTCTGACCTCTGCCCTTGCCACAGCCCCCCACCTACTCCCGCAATGAGGCATCTGCTAGTCCTGCTGCTGCTGCTTCCCTCTACCCTGGTGCCCCCCTCCACTGCAGCCCCTATCTGGGATGCTGTCGACCAGGAGAACTCCTCCGGTTTTCTAGGACTCCAGAGCCTACTCCGAGACTTCAGGCATTTTCTCCTGAAAGTAAGCGATGGTGGGGATTGGAGGGAAGAAGAGATACAGAGAAGAGAGGGAGACAGGGCGGGAGATGGGTCAGGGCCAGGCAGGTGTCAGGCCCAGACAACCACAGAGGGAGTCAGAGGGCCAGAGAGACAGGACAACAGGGGGGCCCCAAGAGATAGGAAGAGAGGGAAGGTCACAGGCAAGGACATGGGACAGAGACAAGAGACTGGAGAAAGAGAGCGAGGCCAGGTGAGGTGACTCACGCCTGTAATCCCAACACTTTGGAAGGCCGAGGGGAGAGGGTTGCTTGAACCCAGGAGTTCAAGACCAACCTAGCAACATAGCGAGAACTTGTCTCTACAAAAAAATTCAAAAAATTAGCCAGACATGGTGGCACACATCTGTAGTCCCAGCTCCTTAGGAGACTGAGACAGAAGGATCACCTGAGCCCACCAGGTCAAGGCTGCAGTGAGCTATGATCATACCACTGCACTCCAGCCTGGACGACAGAGCGAGACCCAGACTCAAAAAGAAGAGAGAGAGAGAGAGAGGCAAGAGGAAAGAGATATGGGGACAGAGACCACAGGACAGATGAGGGATAGGAATAGTAAGGCAATGGGACAGAGACCAGAGACAGAATAGATGGAGGGGAGATGAAAGCCCTAAGAGATTAGGCCCTAAGCGTCAGAGGACAGAGAGAAAAAGGCATAGGCAGGCAATGGGGCAAGGCCTTGGCGGCTTCCTGGCAGGGCTGCAGATGTCCTGGGTAGAAGTGAGGTTTAGCAGCTCACCAGTCCCTCCTCCATCCCCAGAATGACCTGCTGCGAAGCATGGACAACTTCTTCAAGGCCTCCATGGACTTCCAGAGCCTTCCCCAGAACTACCACCGAGAAGAGAACCAGGCACACCAACTGGGGAACAATACCATCTCCAGCCACCTCCAGATCCACAAGGTGCCCATGCAGGGAAACTCCTCCCAGATCCCTCAGTCCCTCGCGCTGCAGTATCTGCCAGGAGGGAGGAGGGCAGAGGAGGAACACGGGCTTGCTCTCACACTCATCCAATCCTCACAGGTGACTGACAACAAGACAGGGGAGATGCTGATCTACAAGAAGTTGGTGGCATCCATCGAGCCAGCAGAGGGGAGATCAGAGGGTGACTGGAAGGTTAGGACATGCCTGCCCTCACAGAGTCTAGGCCCCAGTTTTTTCTGTAGTTTAGGAAGAGAAGTGGATCCTCCCACTCACGCTGGGTGGAACTACCTCCGTCTGGGCCTCAGATTTGTCATCTGTCAAAAGGGACAAACCAACTCTCAGAAGTGAGGGTTACAAACTCAGAATACATCCCCAAAGAGTGCCAAAGTGTTTTTATGAGCACCGAAGTGTTTTATAAACCAAGAAGTGCTTTCACTTCCAAATGCTTGGTAAGCTTCACCCCATAAGCTTTAAAATGTGTTTTTATGTCCAAGTAAGTGCTCTGTAAATCTCAGGGTGTTTTAATCTATCCCAAAGCTCTCACTAAACCTCTCCCATGTCAACTTCAAAATATGATTTTCTCTTTTTTTTTGAGTCAGAATCTTACTCTGTCATCCAGGCTGGAGTGCAGTGGCATGCTCATGGTTAACGCAGCCTCGACCTCCTGGGCTCCTGCGATCCTTCCACCTCAGCCTTCCAAGTACCTGGAACTACAGGCGTGTGCCACCACACTCAGTTAATTTTTTGACTTATTGTAGAAACACAGTCTCACCAAGTTGCCCAGGCTGGTCTTGAACCCCTAAGCTCAGGCAATCCTCTCACCTTCACCTCCCAAAGTGCTGGGATTACAGGCATGAACTACTGCACCCAGCCAAAATGTGATTTTTTAAATTCCAAAAGTGCTTTATGGACTCCTATTGCTTTGTGTATCTCACCTTTTGTCAATGTCTACAAATGATATCAGTCACAACGTGTTTGAAAATATAATTTTTAATCCTGAAAATGTTTTAAGAATCCTAAAGTGTTTGGTAAAGCCATATGGTTTCCACATACACCCACCCAGTTTTTTATTTTAAAAATTTCAAACTTACAGATGAGTGTTTTTTGTTGTTGTTGTTATTGTTTGCTTGAGTCGAAGTCTCACTCTGTCGCCCAGGCTGGAGTGCAGTGGCACGCTCATAACCACCACAACCTCAACCTGCTGGGCTCCAGCAATCCTTCCGCCTCGGCCTTCCACGTAGCTGGAGCTACAGGCATGCACTACCATACCTGGCTAATTTTGGGGTTTATTGTAGAGACGAGGTCTCATGATGTTGCCCAGGCTGGTCTCAAACCCCCGGGCTCAGGCAGTCCTCTCACCTTCTCCTCTCAAAGTGCTGAGATTATAGGCTTGAGCCACCATGCCTGGCACAAGTGTTTTTTGTTTGTTTATTTTATTGTTGGTTTATAGAAATGCGTCTGTCTTTTGCACATTTATTTTATACCCTGAGACTTTGCCAAAGACGAGTGTTTTTTAATAACACAATCAATATGCCTATTCTCTTCTGTGAACCAAAGCTTCTCAACCTTGGCACCACTGGCATTTGGGACTGGATAATCTTCTGTTGTGGGGGCTGACCTGTGCACTGTAGGGTGTTTGGCATCATCCCTGGGCTCTACCCACTAGACGGAAGTAGCATTCCCTACCCCCACTCGTTGTGATACCTAAAAATGTCTCCAGACTTCAGTTGAGAACCCCTGGCCTAGATTTACCACTTGTTAGCATCTTCCAGATTTTATCTATTTTTACTTTTGTATTTCTGAACCATATGGCAACAACTTGCTGACATCATAACACTTCACCCCTGAATACGTCAGCAGAATCTCTTCTACCACAAGACCACAATACCATTTTCACACCCAAGAAAATGTTGCCATCCAACTGTTATCTCTGGCCAGGCATGGTGGCTCATGCTGTCATCTCAGCACATTGGCAGGCTGAGATGGGAGGATTGCTTGAGCACAGGAATTTGAGACCAACCTTTCGAGTTCAAGAAGACTGAAAAAAAAAGAAAAAAAGAAAGAGATCAACTTAGGCAACATACACCAGCCTCGGCAACATAATGAGTCCTCATCTCTACAAAAATGATCGCAAAATTAGCTGGGACTGGTGGTGCGCTCCTATAGTCCCAGTTACTAGGGAAGCTGAGGCAGAAGGATTACCAGAGCCTAGGAGGTTGAGGCTGCGGTGAGCCATGATCATGCCACTGCACTCCAGCTTGGGCAACAAAGTGAGACCCTGACTCAAAAATAAAACTAAAAAAAAACAAACCCAGCTATATTTGTTTGCCAAGGCTGATGTTACAAGGTATCACAAACTGAATTACTCAAATAACAGAGGTATATTGTCTCAGGGCTCTGGAGGGTAGTTGCTCAAGATCAGGGTGTCAGCAGGGCTGATTTCCTTTTGAGGGCTGTGAGAATCTGTTCCAGGTCCCTGTCCTGGCTCCTGGTGGTTTGCTGGCCATCTTTGGGTTCTCTCATTGTAGAGGCATCACCCTGATCTCTGCCTTCATCTTTATATGATGTTTATTTATTTATTTTATTTTTTTGAGTGTCTGTCGCCCAGGCTGGAGTGCAGTGGCATGATCACGGTTCACTGCAGCCTTGACTTCTTTGACTCAGGACATCCTCCTGCCTCTCCCTTCCAAGTAGCTGGGACTATAGGCACACACCACCACACTCAGCTAGTTTTTTTTTTTTACTTTTTGTAGAGTTGAGGGCTTGCTATGTTGCCTAGGCTGGTCTCAAACTCCTGAGCTCAAGCAATCCTCCTCCCTTGGCCTCCCAAAGTGCTGGGATTCCAGGCATGAACCATCATACCCAGCCTTCACATGGTTTTGTTTTTTGGGTTTTTTTGAGTTGGAGTCTCATTCTGTCACCCAGGCTGGAGTGCAGTGGCACACTCCTGACCACCGCAGCCTCGACCTGCTGGGCTCTGGCGATCCTTCCAAGTAGCTAGAACTACAGGCACGCGCTACCTGTAAGCCTCAGCCTTCCAAGTAGCTAGAACTACAGACGTGCGCTACCACGCCTAGCTAGTTTTTGATTTATTATAGAGACGAGGTCTCACCAAGTTGCCCGGGCGGGTCACGAACCTTCACATGGTTTTTAAATCTGCAATGATCCTAGTTCCAAATAAGGTCACATTCTGGGGTACTGGAGGTTAGGACTTCATGAACTCGGGGAGGATGCAATTCAACCTATAACAGCCTCCTACTGGACTTCTCAGACCTCCACTTGTTAAAAGACACACTGATTCAGCAGGTCTGGGTGGGGTGGGGACCCTCAATTTGCACACCTAACAACAGCAGCCTGCACTTTGAATTGTAAGGACCAAATAGATACTCAGTCCATATTCAAATTTCCTCCCTCAACTCAGAGCTGTCCTTGAAAGTTTATTTTATTTTTGATCCAGAGTAAATCAAAGATCAACAGTGCATTTATGCTCATGATTGTTTAGTAAACCCAAGAACTTTTAGTCCCAAAGTGCTTTGTACATTTCAGACTGCTGCTTTCTAAACCTCAGAGAGTATTTAATTCCAAAGTGCTTTGTAATCCCAGCAGGCATATAATCCCCAAAGTGCTCTGTCACTCCTCCCTTTGAAACTCCTGGAATGTATTTTTATTTGAGTTGGAATCTCACTCTGTCACCCAGGCTGGAGTGCAGTGGCACCCTCACGGCCACCCCAGTGTCAACCTGCTGGGCTCCAGCGATCCTTCCCCTCAGCCTTCCAAGTAGCCAGAACCAGCTAATTTTTGATTTAAAGACCAAGTTGCCTGGGCTGATCTCAAACCCGGGGCACAGGCAATCCACTCAGCTCGGCCTCCCAAAGTGCTGGGATTACAGGCTGAGCCACCGAGCCAAGCCCAGAACGTATTTTCATTCCCAAAGTATTCTATAGATCTCAGAGCATTTTTAATCCTAAAGTGTTTGTAAACTCAAGTGCTTTGTTGTTGTTGTTGTTTGAGTCAGGGTCTCACTCTGTTGCCTAGACTGGAGTACAGTGGCATAGTCATGGCTCACTGCAGCCTCTACTTCCTAAACTCAGGCAGTCCTTCCATCTCAGCCTCCCACCTAGCTAATTTTTTTTTTTTTTTTGTAGAGACAAGATCTCACCATGTTGCTTAGTCTTGTCTTGAACTCCTGGACTCAAGCAGACCTCCCGCCTCGGCCTCCCAAAGGCATGAGCCACTGTGCCTAGCCAAAGTGCTCTATAAACCTCAAAGAGGACTTTTTAGACCCCCAAGTATCCTGTCCACTGTGAAGTGGGTTGAATGGACCAGTGGGGACTGAGCGTCCTAAGGTTGCTGTTTAGAGTGCGAGAGGTTCTTCTTGTTCCTACTCCCCAGGTACCCAAGAAGGAAGAGAAGGAGACCCTGGTGCCCACTGGAAAGGCCAAGGCCATGGACAGCTTCCACTCAGAACTCCATCCCACCCCCCGGGTGGCCTTCTGGATCATGAAACTGCCTCAGCAGAGGTCCCACCAGGATGCCCCGGAAGGCAGCCACTGGCTTAGTGAGAAGCGACACCGCCTGCAGGCCATCCGGGATGGGCTCCGGGAGGGGACCCAGGAGGGCATCCTTGAAGAGGGGACCCAGGGCTCCCGCCGCTCCAGGCTGCCTACCCGCAAGACCCACTTCCTGTACATCTTCAGACCCTTCCAGCGGCTGTAGGGGTGGGGACTGGCAGCACTCACCCTGTACCCCCCACCCAGCCCTGTCCCAAGCACCACATGGAAATAAAACTTTATTTTGTTTCTAGTAACACCATCTCCTTTCGGGATCTGTCCCCAAGCCGCTGCCAGTCAGTACATGGCAGGTTCCAGATCCTGCCCTGATTATGACAGGGCCAGCTCTTGGCTAAATCTCCAGGCTCTGTTTTCTCATTCAGACACTGTGTGTCTTCTGATTGAATGACTCTGACACCGCCAGCCCCATCTGTCCACTCGGTCCCCGACCCTGCCAGCTTCAACCCTGTGTGCCCTCCCAGCCCCCAACCCTTTCACCCCAACCCTGCCTGTCTGACCACTTGGCCCCTGTGTTTATATCCTATGACTGCCAGAATAAGCGACAACAAACGGGGCAATTTAAACCAACACAAATGTGTTGTCTCACAGAAATCCAGGATGGCTCTGCTGGTCCTCGACTGTGGGTTTCATAAGGCCAAAATCAAGGTGTCAGCCAGCTGGGCTCTCCCTGAGAAGCTCTGAGAAGCAGCTGCTTCCAAACTCATTCAGTTTTTGACTGGCTTGTCAGCTGGGGGGCTGGGCCCTTAGCTCCCAGAGGTCTCTCTCCAGTTCTCACAGGGGGGACCCCACACCTCAGAGCCAGGAATCCAAGCTCACACTCTCTGACTTCCCTTTTTTTTTTTTTTTTTTTTTGAGTTGGAGTCTCACTCTGTCGCCCAGACTGGAGTGCAGTGGCCGCTCCCGGCCACCGCAGCCTCACCTGCTGGGCTCCAGCGATCCTTCCGCCTCAGCCTTCCGAGTAGCCGGAACTACGTGCGCTACTGCACCCGGCTGATTTTTTTTATTTATTGTAGAGATGAGGTCTCGCCTGCCCAGGCGGGTCTCGAACCCTCAGACTCAGGCAATCCACTCACCTCAGCCTCCCAAAGGTGCGGGATTACAGGCTGAGCCACCGAGCCCGGCGACTTCCCTTTTTGTCCCATCTCCATTCCACCTCCTCTTCCTCTTCTGGCAGACAGTTCTCTGTTTTTAAGGGCTCATGGGATGAGAGCAGACCCACCTGGACAATACATTCACAGATTCCAGGAATTCAAAGGTGGGCATCTTTGGGGGACCATTATCCAGCCTACCTCAGGTCCTGATCTTGTCATCTCCAGCCCTGACCCTGTCACATCTCTGCCCACCCGTCTTCACTCTCGTCTTTTATCATCTAATTCTCTGCTCTCATCCTACATGCTGACTCCATCTCCGACTTACTGTTTTTCTCTCTGTCCTTCCATGCCCATCGCCTCAGACTCCATCTCTACCAGGCGTGACGCCTCTCAGCCAAACTGGAAGCTCACAGACCCCGTCTTTGGTGGTCTGCCCAGAGCACCTCCTGTCCCCCCCCCCAGACCCCTCCCTCCTGACCCACCATGGAGAAAGTTGATCTGGGCCTCTCCAGTGCTGAGTCCCATCGGGGACTCAGACACAGCACAAGCTTTCTTCCTTGAAGCCTAGGCTCAGAGTTGAATCATGCCACAGACAGACTCGCACACTGGGGAACCCAGAAATGCATGGACACAAATAAAAGTGAACTTTCTTTTGAAAAAACATTTACATTCCTTTTTTAAATTTTTTTTGACGTCAGAGTCTCACTCTGTTGCCCTGGCTGGAGTGCAGTGTCATGGACATACCCACCACAGCCTCAGCCTGCTGGGCTCAGGCGATCTTTCTGCCTCAGCCTTCCAAGTAGGTGAGACTACAGATGCATGCCACAGCACCTGAAAGAAGTTCGACACCAGTAATGACTCCACACCCGGCCAGGACCAAGAGATTTATTAAAGTGGCGGTTACAAGGGAAAAAGGGAAAGGGTCTGTGGAGAGAGAGGAAGTGGGAGAGAGGTGGGGAGAGAGCTGCAGAGAGGGGGAGAGAGAGAGAGAGAGGGAGAGAGAGAGAGAGAGAGAGAGAGAGAGACTGAGAGAGACTGAGACTGAGAGAGAGTCAAGAAAGTCACGGGGAGAGGGCTGTATTTATCAGCCTGACAGGGGCCGGAAGGAGCCATGCCATGAGTAGGGTGGGGCCAATGCCGTGTTATGGTCCTATTGGACTTAGGGCCTTTGTCGTCTGGTGTGTCGGTGCCATTTTGGGAGCCGCCCCTCTGGTCGCTTCCTGCACCCTTCATTCCCACCTTTTCTGTTTTTTATGGGGAGGGGCGTCGTTACTTTTTCTGGCTACTTCCTGATGGTTGGGGGCATTGTGGGGGTAAGGTGGTGGAAGGGTGCAGAACCAGCCAGAGCAGGGCCCAAAGGTAGGTGCTGAAGGTGTAGATTTCCGCAGGTGAGAGTTCCATGAAGGTTCCTTGTAAGTGTAGGACAGCGACTTGTTCCGGTCAGTCTTCCAGTGGGTCCGAGGGCGGTAGTAACCAGCTGTCTTGGAGTAGACTGTGGAGGTAAATAGAGAACCTGGAAGAGAGCATATCTAAAAGAAAAGTTAGGTGCTGATATACTTTTATAACAATTGATGTGCTAGAGAGTGAAGTCCAGGTTATTTTGTCCCTCATCCTATACTGAACAGTAATCCTTGTGCCTGGAAGGAGATTTTAAAGTTTGTTAGCAATTTGGCAATGTTGTTAGTGAAATTAATTTACCTGGCCTTTAGGCAATTTAGAAGGGAGTGGGGTAGGTGTGGTTTTTGGAGCTTGCTGCTTATCTCACTTTAGAGACTGAATTAAGATCTTGAAGAGTTTAAGTAGCAAAGTTTTCAAAAGCATGTTATAACACAAAATCACAGTAGTTATTGTAAAAGTTACTTATTTAGCCAAAATGATAGTCCAACCATTTTGAAAAGAAAAAACCTCGCTCTTTTATACAAAGACAGTGGGGGGGAGGGCTAATTAAACCTTTTCGGTAACCTCGAGTGTTTACAGAATTTCTTTTACTTCTTTTCACAAATTTTCACCTACTATGTTCGACATACTTATACCATTTTTTGACATGCTCATACCATTTTTTGACATGTTTAAACCTTCTATTTTTGTTCTATACTTTCTTTAACCAGCCATACTATTATAGAACAAAAATGTACCATACAATATTCTTTCCTATACAATTATTTATCTTTTCTTTATCCTATTTTACTAAAAACATACCTTACACCAATAACTTTCTTTACATTTTTCCTAACCTTAGAGTTTAACCAAAGCAATAAGTTTATATGCAGTGGAAGGGCTTAGATAGGATCCGACATGAAACTATTAGGGAAATTTAAAGCTATACAAAAGGCACCCAAAAAGCACAGTGGTGATGGCTCAGGGTAAAGAATAATATGAGTTCTAATTTTTGTCATAATGCCCCCTTTTAATAATGGAGCTGGACACGTTGGCATAATAAGGAAAGAGTGTGAAATATTTTATTTCCCAGAACACATGGAAGTAATGGCGTAGTGAGGGGCCTGGATATAATGCCCTGTGCCCCCACAACCTAAAGGGGTGAAGGAAAGAGTGGACCAGGAAATTTAAGTAGAGCTAAGCATGTAGCCCCCGTATTAATAACACATGATATAATCCCGCCAGCTACTGATATTTCCACCCTAGGCTCGGTTGGTTTAACAGTTTGTTCTGAAGACATTGGGTCTACCAAGTTAGGGGTGAGTCAAGCTGACTGGAGCAAGCCCAAGAGATCCCCCTTTGAGATCATGTAAGATGCCTGATGTCCCTTAATTGCAGCAAGCCTCTGGGCCATGTGCTCTCCTCCAGCTAGGCGAACAAAGCAATCTTGAGCCCAATGTCCATGCTGTTTGCATTTGGGACAGGGTTTTGTTGGTGGGCAGGGCTTGACAGTCTTTGGCCATATGCCCATTTTGATGGCATCAGAAACAAACCTGGGAAGGGGGCCGTGTACCCCTTCTGCTATTGACCATCTGGAATATGGTGGAAGATTATCAGTGGTGGCTTTTTCTGCTAAAGTGGTAGATAAAAGCTGAAGTGCTTTCTGCTTATGTGGGTGGTCCTGTATTGGTCCTGTATTCTTTCCCCTTTTTGGTTGTTAAAGATTTTAGAGGCTGTGTCTAATAGCTCTAATTGAGGGGTTTGTGGGCCCTTTTTTAATTTTTGGAGTTTACGCCTAATACCCAGTGCTGACTGGGAGATAAAATATATAGCCAAAAGAATTTGTCCCTTTATAGAGTTTAAATCAGTGTTAGTAAACTGCTAGGATGACCGGTGCGGCCTTAGATCGGGTTACCGGAAGGCTACACTGGGGAATGATTGGAAGGGGAGGATATAGGGATCGAGTTGCCAGAGTAGAGGAGAGTGGGGGCAGGGTAGCCTGAGGCTGTTGAGGCCGCCTGTGAGGGAGGGGGCTCGTCTGCAGGGTTGAAATCTGAGATGGAGGAGGGGGTAGCGGAACTGGGACTTACAGTGTCTGCAGTGGGGGGAGGGAAGTTTTGGAGAGGAGGCTGAAGTGTGCGTAAAACAAGGGGAGAAGGAGAAGTTGTAGAAGAGGCGGCAGATGCTAGCATGAGTGGAGGATAGAAATTAGAGGGATTGCAATTGAGGCAGAGGCAGGGATGTTCATGGAGGAGAGAAAAGAACTGAACATAGGGAATCTCTACCCACCATTTTGAAGGCTCACAGAAATTATATAAGTCCCAAATAATATCAGAATTGAGGGACTCCTGGGGGGGCCACTGATTTTGGTTGTCTAAGGGGTATGTTGGCCAATCTTGGGTATAGAAATGAATTAGGCGTTTGGGTTTGATATCAGGGGAAAGAGAAAGTGTGGTGAGATTGTTTAAGAGGCATTTAAGAGGGGAATCGGCCGGCAGGGATGATGAGCCTCCCATGGTGACAGGTAGACTAAACAGGGCATCCCCCAAAGAGTCGGCTGTCCGAGAAGTGTGGCTGTGGCAAAGCCTGTCGTCACAGGGGTTTGGCA